CAGTCTAAAATACAATACGCGATAACACAAATTGAATAATAAAATGATGAAAATGATGATGAAATAAAATAATGAAATAACAGTAGAGGAAATAGAAATTTCTAAAATACAAAAATTAAACGATGAAATAGTAAAATACAAGAAATAGCAGTTTAAAGTGCAACGCGGTAACAAATTGAATAATAAAATGATAAAATAGTGAAATAAAACAATGAAATAATAGTAGAGGAAATAGAAATTTCTAAAATACAAAAATTAAACGACGAAATAATAAGATACAAGAAATAGCAGTCTAAAATACAATACGCGATAACACAAATTGAATAATAAAATGATGAAACAGTGAAATAAAATAATGAAATAACAGTAGAGGAAATGGAGATTTATAAAATACAAAAATTAAACGACGAAATAGTAAAATACAAGAAATAGCAATTGAGAATCGAGCTCGTGGACCGGGAATTCTAACGACGCGCGTCAAATCGTCGACGACGATTGCTCCGAATTTCCAAGCAAACCGGTTCAAACGGCCAAGACGCAAGTGGCAAGTGGAGAGCCTGTGGTCAACTCTCGGCAGAGAGGAAGCGTTAAACCGGAGAGACGAAGCTTGGAAAGATCGAACCGAGTCGGATGTCATGGTGACAGATACAAAATAAAATATTCCAAGGATATCCGTAGAATCTGAACGATGTGTGGTTGAGACAATAATAGGGTTTAGGTTTCACCTATGATTGATTCTTGATTGGAAAGCGTACGAATGTTTATTTCATTTCCTTGGGGTGGGCACAAGTTTGCGTTTTGATAAATTTGAAAATATTGGCAACTGATAACACGATGGTGTGTGTTTTTGTGTTTCTAAGGGTGTATAATTCACCAATTTACACAATTAGTATGATAAACGTTGTTTAGAAAATAACACGTTTTCGAGTGGCTACAAAACGGACCTGAGCCACTTTCAAGATTAACGAAGCAGCTTTTTTTGATTTTTAGAAAGTCACAAGTCCCTTCAAAAAAAAAAAAGAATAAAAAGAATATTACAATTTCGTGTTACAAAATTAAAAAATATCCAAATTTTAGCATTCAAATGATATTTCGTAATTTATGATCCATTCTTCCCCAATTTGCGTACGCGTGAGGGATTTAAAATAATTATACTCTATATACAGGTGGTATATAGTGTAATAAGTCCATTACATCGTTGTATTTTAGCGTTGCGATTGGTCTTACACTTTTGTACAGTTGTGTGCAATTCAATATTATTAAAGTTTCCTGGTCTTCACCAACGCGGTTGTTATTTCATTGGACATTTTATTATGGTTCCTGTTCTCGAAAATCGCATCCAACGATTACTTTCAACCCGTTAGTATTATTTAATCTTTTAAAAACCTCTAGAGGTTCAGTTGAAACGAAA